CTTCAATTTCGTTTCTTCCACATCTGAACCGACTTATCCATTTGTAGGTTGTTGATTTCTTTGGGGCATGGCCACCATAAACTTGTTCCAGATCGTCAATGATTTGCCTATTCTCCCAACCGAGTTTCACCATGAATTTAATGTTTGTCCTGACCTCGATTTTGGTGGATTCCATGTTGCTTGAATGGTACCTGATCTCCAAATGGCGACAATGCGTTATTACCTACATTTAAGGATTCATGTTTTAACACGTTACAACACGTTGGCTCAAGAATCTTAAGCTGCATTGAAATCAAAATCCTTTCATATGTTTTTCAGTTATGGACTTTTTCCAAGTACTTTTTGAAGCCCCGTCGTGAATGCTTCTAGAAAGATTATGTTTTACTGACGTTTCACTCTTCACTTTTCCGGTAAGTAGGACAAAAAGTGAAATGGATAGAAACGCAACAGAAGAGGAAGGAGGAGGAGGAGGAGGAAGAGGAAGAAGAGGACGAACAGGAAGAAGAAGAACGGGAGAAGGAGGAAAGAAGAAAGAAGAAGAGGAGGAGGAGAGGAAGGAAGAGAATGAGGAGGAAGAGGGAAAGGAAGAGAAGGAGGAGAGAAGAAAAGGAAGAAGAGGGGAAGGAAGAGAAGGAAGAGGAGGAGGAGGGAAGAAAAAGAAGAAATGGACAAGTAGAGAATAAGAAGAGAAGGAGGAAGAAGAAGTGGAAGAATAAGATAAAGACAAGTAGAAGGAAGAAGAGAAACAGCAGAAGGAAGAAAAGGAGAAGGAGGTTTACCGTAGATTTGTGTACCGAACTTGTTTATTGATTAAATAATGATAATAATAATAATAACCAGACGGTAATTCGGAATGTCAGTGAAATGTGGCACACGTTTACCGTAGATTTGGGTACCGAACTTGTTTATTGATTAAATAATGATAATAGTAATAATAACCAGACGGTAATTCGGAATTTAATAAGTTCTAAGTTAGTCCCTTTCTGACTTGTCCCAAAAAATTCGATGAAATCCGGCCAGCACTTTTTGAGCTAGGCTGCTAACAAACAAACCAACGCAGGCAAAAACATAACCTCCTTAGTGGAGGTAATAAATAAATACAAAAATCTATTTATCCATCTGTCTACAAATATTTACCTATGTACCTATCTCTCTGTCTGTCTGTGTCTGTTTAGCTCTCTGTCTGTTTATCTATCTCTACCTTTTTATCTATCTTTCTCTTTTTCTATTTATCTATCTATCTACAAACACACACACATATACACACACACACACACACACACACACACACACATATATATATATATATATATATATATATATATATATATATATATATATATATATATACATATATATACATAAATATACATATATGTATATATATATACATACATATATACATACATATATATATACATATATATATACATATATACATACATATACATAAATAAATTAATATATATATACATATACAGCATGGTCATTCAACTGCACGACGATCAACACAGCCAAGTCAGGTTGAACAGCGAGCTCTCTGAGCTCTTCCCCATCGCCAATGGCGTGAAACAGGGTTGTGTCCTGGCACCTACTCTGTTCAGCATTTTCTTCAGCATGATGCTCAAGCAGGCCACTGAAGACCTTGAAAATGACGAAGCTGTGTACTTCCGCTACCGCCTTGACGGCAGTCTGTTCAACCTCAGGAGCCTGCACGCCCACACAAAGACACTTGAGCAGCTGACCTGTGACCTCCTCTTCGCTGACGATGCTGCCCTCGTTGCCCACACCGAAAGAGCCTTGCAGCGCCTAACGTCTTGCTTTGCAGAGGCTGCGCAGCTCTTCGGACTCGAGGTCAGTTTGAAGAAGACAGATGTCCTCCACCAGCCTGCACATCACTATTGGCGAAACTGAGCTGAAAGCAGTTCACCAGTTCATCTACCTGGGGCGTACCATCACATCAGATGCCAAGATCGACAGGGAAGTGTATACAATACACTGTATGCAGACCACGTGGATGCTTGCACCAGCCGCGTGGCCGCCCACGCTAGCTACCTGCCGGCTTGAGACGCTACCTAGCCTCGTTCCCACTCGCACTAGCCGCATGGCTTGGGGGAATGCTACCTACCCTCGTCCCCAAGCCAACGCTCGGATATTTAAGGGCTGCAGGTGACCCCAGTAGACAGAGTGTTCTGTACCGCGAGGACACGTCTGACCGCGCGGCCAGGTTGCCGCCCTCGCCTTAACCCAAGACTTGTCATCGTTGTGTTATCATAACCTTGTGCTGAACTCTTACCAATTAAGGGTTTAAGCCACACAAGCTTTTACTACTCCCTGTCACCAATGTTTAGAGGTCCTTCCCTGACTCTTACAAAGTGGACAACAGACTAGCCAGGGCAAACAGCGCTTTCGGCAGACTCTACAAGAGAGTCTGGAGCAACAGACAGCTGAAGAAGGGTACAAAGATCAGTGTCAACAGAGCCGTCATACTTACCACCCTGCTGTACGGCTCTGAGTCATGGGTAACATATTGTCACCATCTAAGACTCCTAGAGCGCTTCCACCAGCGCTGTCTCCGCACCATCCTCAACATCCACTGGAGTGACTACGTCACCAACGTTGAGGTTCTCGAACAGGCAGAGATCACCAGCATTGAGGCCATGCTGCTGAAGTCGCTGGGCATGGCACGTCTCTAGAATGGAGGAACATCGCCTGCCCAAGATAGCCCTGTACGGCGAGCTCTCCACAGGCCACCGTGACAGAGGCGCACCGAAGAAACGCTACAAAGACTCCCTCAAGAAATCCCTCGGTGCCTGCCACACTGACCACCGCCAGTGGTCGAAACTCGTTGCTGACCGCCAGGCCTGGCGCCACACCGTTCACCAGGCCGTCGCCTCCTTCGAGGATTCCCACAGGTCTAACCTGAAGGAGAAACGCCGCACGAGGAAGGACCGGGAAGCCTCACCAGACTTTTGACCGCAGTCGCTGCGGCCGGACATGCCTGTCCCGTATCGGTCTCGTCAGCCACCAGCGCGCCTGCAATCGACGTGGACAGCCCCTTTCATGATTTTCGTTCGCGAAGCCAAGCCATGATTATATATATATATATATATATATATGTGAGTGTGTGTGTGTGTGTGTGTGTGTGAGTGTGTACATATATATCATGTCAAGAAAGCTTGATAGAAAGTGAAAGGAGAGGAATGGACAGACAGAGAAATACATTATAAAAGTAATACACGCAAAGGATGTCTTCCCGAGATCATGTCATCTCACGGTGCTTCCTCTGGGAGATGGAGCTGAACTGTGAAATACCGTAAAATTTACTCGTTCTTGCATTTCGAATCATTCCCACGAGCAAGGAGACGCCATATTATGCGTGAATTTCAGACCAGGAGATATTTCATGAAGTTTCAGCGTTATAAAGCCATGAAGTGTGACGTCTGTGAAATCCTTTAAGCACAGAGCTCGGTATTCAGTGCATTTTAGTCTTCGTATGAAAGGCAGAAAGTCCGAGAGTTCAATGTTTATTCAGTTCAGTGTTCGAAACATTTGCGTCACGAGTTGAAAGGAGGATTTTGTGAAAGTAGAGATTTATTTATATATATGTATTTTTTTTTTTAAGCGAGGAAATATTAAAGACAATTAAGAAGCATCGTTTTTTTATTTTTTTACGTATTTTACTATTAACAGCTAAACAAAAAAAATACTTAAAAACGTAGGATAAAGGAAAATCATTGATGTGGTTTCGCATGATTTCGAAATTCTGATTTATGCGTTTCATTAACTTGAATACATTTTTTTCTCTCTCTCTCTAAGGTAAAATAGAGCACATGGCCGTTTTCAGCAATGCTCTTTGAACTTATAATTTGGTTTATATAAGAGATCTCTTTCACGCTATTATGATAAATAGTTGTGTGGGAGTTCAAGGGGTAATACCTACTTACACGTGTGCATGTGTGTTTGTCTTTCTGTGTGTGTGTGTGTGTGTGTGGGTGGGTGTGTGTGTGTGTTTGTCTGTGTGTGTGCGTGTGTGTGTGTGTGTGTTTCTATGTGTGTTTCTATGTGTGTTTGTCTTTCTGTGTGTGTGTGTGTGTGTGTGTCTATGTGCCTGTCTGTGTGTGCGTGTGTGTGTGTGTGTTTGTATGTGTGTTTGTGTGTGTGTGTGTGTGTGTGTATCTGTCTGTCTGCATATGTGTGTGTATATCTGTGTGTGCATGTCTATGTGTGATTGTCTGTAAGTACGTGTCTGTCTGTGCTTTACTCTCATTCACATTATCTATATCCACCCCTATGCCCTCAATATTTGCCCCCCTCCCCTTTTTGTCACGCAGCAAGCACAGCAAAGTAGCAAAATTGGATATAAGACGCTTTCTGCCGCCACAGCTTGTGCTCGATGACCCTTATGAGCACCTAGCATATGATTAACCCCCCCTCCTCCCCCGCCTGCAGTAAACCCTTCATTCCTGCATCTTGGCATATTAATAAGCCAAGGAAACGGGGCTTCTAATCGGCCCACACAGGAGGCCAATCACAAGGCCTGAGGCCGTTGCTCACGGGCGGAGGAGGCGCGGGCGCGGAACACTGCGCTTTGAAGGAAGGCCGATTGCATATATATGCATACACACACACACACACACACACACACACACACACACACACACACACACACACACATATATATATATATATATATATATATATATATATATATATATATATATATATATATATATATATATATATATATATATATATATATATATATATATATATATATATATATATATACATAAATATGTAAATATATATATGTATATGTATACATAAATATATATATATATATATATATATATATATATATATATATATATATATATATATATATATATATACATATATATATATATATATATATATATATATATATATATATATATTTATATGTTAATATATATATAAATATATTGATATATATATATATTAATATATATAAATAT